CATATTGCCTTGACTGACTAGCCACCAGCTTCTTCACCAAGTTCCCTGCTGGCAAACCTGTGCAAAGAGGAGCCTGGGGATTTGAAGTCGGGAAACATCTGTACACGCCGCCGGGCCACCCCCATCTCGAGGGTATGAAGAGACAAGATGCAGGGCTTCGCCCGGATGACATTTATTTTCGCGTAGATTGGCAAACGCTGCGACGGTTGCCTCTCTCTGGGGCAATAGTCTTCAACTTTAAGGCCTTCTTTACTCCGGTGAAGGACTTGATGGATGAGCCGTACGTACCTTCCTTGTGTCTGAAAGTGCTTACCGAGAGCAAGGCAAATCTGAGAGAGTATAAACAAGTACACCACACGGAGCATGTTCTAACTCCCCTGTTGTCGCATTATGAAAAGTCTCAAATAGAGCGTGGATTAATAGAAGCTGGTTGGGAACCACAGACTCTGGAGGAGAGCCCCTTCTTCCCCGGATGGATGGATCATTTCAGTAGGTCTCTGAGCAGGATTTGAGTGAGCGCTGTCAATTTACTATTTTTGTCAAGTAGTAGCAATACGTACAAACAGCTATTGAAGGATCCATGTATGGAGAATTATTACAAATCATTTGCTAGAAACGACAACTTTCAGGTCTCTGATGGCATAGCAAAATAGCCTTAATAAATTGTAAATTCACTGCCGATGCTACACGTGTCCAACCGGCTCGTAGTATCCGGTACTAACGGTGTTATGCTGTCACGAATCTCAATGAAAGATGGCACATGGCATCTCAGGCTACCCACACAGGTTCATGTCACCTGGACAGAAAACTGCGTATTGCAAATATGCATGCAGTAGAGATGTTGCCACTGGACCAAAGATGCCTCGCTTCCCATTCTCAAAAAACAATAAATGGCTCCATCACTGACAAGTTTTGCCGGGCAAAATCCATCCAGTTCATGGGCTCTTGCAGAGTAGACGTGGCGCTCCAAAACGACCTCAGGAACTGCAAGGCGGTATAATTGCACCATACGCCGGTTCGCGAAAGCGATTCGAGAAAAAGCCCATCAATTTCTGTCCTCATCAAGGGGTCAGAGGCGCTCTCAATGCCAGCAATAAAGAGCGGGAAGAACAAATCGTGAAACAGCTCGTCTGTCGGCCCGGCCATGACAAAACGAACATCGGCCAGCAGAGGTTGCAGAAGCCCAGGGAGCGCTGCCCTTTTTTCATGGCACGTTTGAAACGCTTGGTAGCTGTAGATTATAGCGGCAAAATAGTGCGCCCGCGCGACAGCTTCAAACGATTCACGCAAGCTGCGCTGACTTTCATTCAGCCAGTCAGTACAGGCCAAAGAGCTGATACGGGCCTCTTCGGCCCTATTGCACCAGACGCTCATGTCGACATTGGGAGGCGGCACGTTGGATTGCCGCAAGCAGTGTCTTTCCCTCTCCAGCGCCGTGATGGCGTGTATCAGTTTGGTAAATGCCCAGCCCGTGTCTGTGCTTTCTGGCTGCAGCGGCGACGTCGGCAGGGGAGCGAAATCCTGGTGAAACATGGAAATGCCAGTAAACATTTCCAGGTCTGATACCTCCTTGAGCAGGAACCTGATGATGGGGTCTGTGGATGCCGCGAACCAATGCTCCAGCGACTGCAGGTCGATGACGGCTCGACATCCACGGAGGTGAAGCCTCCATGCCTTGGAACCTGGAACAAGGGCCTCGGTGTAACAAAGCACAAGCATAGAGGCAAGGACCTCGGTAAGCGTGAAGTTTGTGGAAGCACTTGGCGCCACGTGGGACGGAGTTGGCAACCCCGAGCGCAGCTTGCTGCTCAGCGCCTGCATACTCTTGTCGCGCAACGACACATACGTCTTGAACAGGGCCTTGGATTGATCATGAGGCGTGTCCAGCACCATGGACATGTGGGCAGCTGCAAGGGAGCCCACGGAAAATTGCACGCATGCCGAAGTCTGCAGGAGGCGGTGGACAATGGTGCGCAATGGATGGCGCGGCCGATCGATCCAGGTAAGCCGGGAGACTGCCTTTGTGCAGAAATGATCAACGAGTCTATTGAATATAGATGCGCTGAGGAATGGATCGACGACATGTTTGGCTTCTTGGAGGGAAAGCGCCGGGGTCAGCTCGTACACTGTCGATGTCGGGGCATCTCGAGACAAAGAGCTGGTGTCGGACGCTTGTCCATCTTTGTCGGCACATCTCTCTCCGCTAGGGCTCTCATCTTGACACAACGGCCTCTGTTTGCCAACCTGTTTCCGTGTCCCCTTGGCAATGGGAACCGACTTGCCCGCCAGCCGGCCCCTGCTTGCGATGCCTTGGTTCCACTTGAGGTACACTGTCTTGAAGCCAGGGCACTCCAATCCGCGACTAGCACACTTCATGCAGGATGGTTCGGTGCGGTCACATTTGATTCTTCGTCTGATGCAGGTAGGGCAGTCTGGATCAGGTTAACGAGGGAACATGTTGGGCCACGGGGCGCGTGGGCAGACTGACAGTGAGCAGCTACTCGCCGGTTTGCCGGCAGACTGTTGATTCGGACATTCTTCATAGCTCAGGCGCTGCACATGGCCACAGGAAGCGCTCGGTCGGCCGTGAAGTGGTCAATTCGAACGTCCATTCGCTGGCAGGAGGGGATATGGGAGGTTGAAACTTCAAAGATGAGGTCTGGTGACTCTGGTCGAGGCGGGGGAATTCTCGTCACTTTGTGGCGGTGGGGCGCCCTGGCTCAGCGGTACCATGACGATGCCGACTTTCGGGCCCGACCAGACTTGTCCCTATTTGGTTGGTCCGAGCTCGACATGATGTTCTTCCGTTTCGGCTAGTGCGACTAGGCTCTTTTTTGCACTCTAATTTGACTGTGAATATTGTAGATTATTTGGAGAAAATCATGTGTCGGATAATACTAACTGACGGCAACCAGATATGCTCTACAACGTCTTGTCATGTAACCCGTTTGCGCACAGTAGACATGCAGTATTCCCGGAAGCAGTCTTATATCGAGACACGCAAAGACTGGCCTCAAGACAACTGTAGGGTCTGATGGAGAAAGTGTTGCTGGCACTCGTATTATCTCTACACGGTCCGTTTATCCAGTGCTCTGGGCAATATTCATCGGAGCTGGGCAAGTTGTAGCCAGTCATAAACTTAGAGTCAGCACAAATAAACGCCCTTGTCTGCTCGTGGATCTAGTGCTCTGGCATGCGATGGTTGCTGCAAAATTCTCGTCAACAAAATTTTCATTTCTGTTCTGCCGTTTTCGGCATACTCCAGAAGCTCTTGCTCAACGATCGGAATAACTCGTTTGTGTAATCTTTTCGATGCGCATCGGCATCGCGATGGGTAAAAATGGCTGCACTGCTCGTCATCGCGATAATAAGTCGCCGACCATTGCTTCGCTTTTTACCGAGTTCGACGCAAGGGAATCCCGAAGCCTAGGTATTATTGGAGCAGAAGTACGAATGCATTTATGGAACTTACAGAAACAAGGAATATTCAGCCGGATGTGGCAGCTAACTGCGTGAGGCTTGACATACGAGGAAGTCTAACGTTATACTGTGTACCGGATTCGGGTGGCCCTGGCGGAAGGCGTCTTTTTCAACAATGCAAAGAATGGCTTCCATTTTTGGGTCTTCCGGGCGAGCATCAAGGATTTCAAGTTCCCACATGTGCAGCTTTATGTAATAGAAGAATTGAGTGCAGGCGCGTGACACCGTTTTGATCAAGGCATGATTGCTCTGCACCAAGAAATCGCCCCGATCTCATAGAGCGGCTTTTATTGCCTTGCCGCGAAACTCCTAAAATTTTCCTTTGTTAATAATTTAACATTTGCACACTGTCAAGGAGTGGTAACCAGTGCTATCTATGAGTATGCTGGTGTTCTTGGCGAAAGGTTGTATTCGTGACTAACGCTGAATGTAGCCTGAAACACATATTCCGTCTCGACTACCATTCTTTTCTTCAGCCCAGCGTCAATTTGGTCCCTTGTCTCGGGCAGCAACTGAACCACGCCCATGTGCCAGTTCCCGGCGACTAATGAAAGCGGCGCCCGACTATTATTCTTTGAATTAACGCCAAGTTTGCCCATATCCATTTGCAGCCGGAGCACAGTCTCCTGCCTGTTTGCGGCGCTATACGGTATCGGCGACTAAGCATATTTTTGTTTCACTTTATTTGATTCTTCTCGTCCCTAGTAGCACCTTAAGAACTGTCTCGCGACTGTTTGCGGCAGCTTATAAGGTCTACACCCACGAAACGAGCAATAGTTTAGAACGGCTATTTAAAGTATAATCTAGCTATATCGGATAGCGGAGATATTACTTTATACTATTCTCTTCTCCTTTATAATCCCTTTCCTCTCTAATACGTAATACTTGTTATTCTTGCGGTTAGGGTTAGGGTTATATGTCAGCCTTTATTCTACGATAAATTACCAGAAATAAATAAGCCAATTAATAGCTTTTAAGTATATAATTTTGATTTTATATAAAAACAAGTTGATCTTGAATTGCTTTTCTACACTCTATTGTTTTATCAATATAGCCTTTAAGTATATATAATAAAGATAAATAATGAATATATTCGTACTCAACACTTAGACAGCTACTAGTCAAGGAATTACGTTTTCACAAGTTCCTTTCGATTTCATGGATCCAGGTCTAATAGTGGCGCCCAACTATACCGTTAATTTAACAAGGACCCCCTTCCGAGCAGCATGTAGCAATAGCCCCATGTCCGCTTGCGGCGACCAGTAAAAGAGGCGTTCTATTGTAGCTGTGATTAGACCCAATGTCTGATTTGCCCATCTCGAGGCGTAGTTGAATGGCTTGGGGTTACACAATGAAGCTGACGTATGCGGCATTTTTGTCCGAGTACTTCAAATTCACGTCAGCTTACTGAGAAAGGAGAAAACCAGCTACTCCTACTTTGATCTCTTTTTATATAATGTAAAAAAGATCATCTTGATATTACAAGACGCCAAAATCTCACCAAGCGAGATATTTGCAAAATGGAACATTGCGTGAAGCGGACAGACCTCACAAGGTGGCGTCTACGAGACGACGACAGTCGTCACACTTGGCATTACCTCGATAATGAGGCTGCAGAAAAGGACTGGCCGCAAAGCCATGCGGAAAAGTACTATCTTGACCTGCCCTTGGTGCGTATCAGTTGTTCGTTCCTCTTCTTTCATCAAACTGGCGTCAATGTCACTAAACTTGCTACAGTGTCTTCCTGACTTACAACGGGCCGTATACCCTTTGAGCGCCGTGGAGAATGCATTGACTTTTTTTGAAAAGCTTCAGCTCCCATCTGGGCACTGGGGATGTGAAAGCGGCGGCCCCATGACGTTTTGTGCAGGCATAGTTATTGCCTGGTATGTCACCGAGACGGCAATCCCCGACCACGTTGCAACAGAACTACAGGCCTATCTTGCTACCAGAGTCAACTCACAGGATGGAGGCTGGGGTCTGCATACGACTGGTGAGAGCAACATTTGCGGCACCACCAGCAATTACATTGTCATGAGAATTGCTGGCATGTCTCCTCATCACCCCATTCTTATTCGAGCGAGAGAGTTTATTCACTCTCACGGCGGTGCCCTATACTCGTCGGTCTGGGGGAAGCTGTGGATGGCCATCCTAGGCATTGTTGACTGGGATATTGTCCACCCGATGCCTGCAGAAATTTGGCTGCTCCCCGAGTGGGTGCCCTTTCATCCTTGGAGGTTCTACGTCGAGATGAGGCTGGCCGGTCAGCCAATGTCCTACCTGTATTCGACCAGGTGGAGATGCAAAGAGACCGATCTTATCAAGTCGCTCCGAGAAGAACTTGTTGCTCGGCCATACGGAGAGATTGACTGGGAACGACACAGGACAACTGTCTCCAAGGCAGACTACAAACAGTGCAGGTCACGGATCGTTGATGGCATAAACTGGGCATACGTTAATATTTGGAAGCCTTATCTGCTTCCCAACTTTATTAAATCCAGGGCAGAGGACTGGCTGCGCGAGCTGATTGATATGCAAGCAAGAAATACGTATTACGGAGGCATCGCCGCAGCCGACCAGCCAATGTCGACCATTGTAACCTACTCCCGAGACGGCGCAAAGTCGTCGTCCTTGACCAAATACGTCGATAAAATACAAGAATTTCTCTGGATGACCGGGGACGGCATGCTGGTCAACAGTACCAACGGCAGCCAGTCCTGGGACACTGCCTTTATTGTTCTCGGCATATGTGCAGCCGGCCTACATCAAAATGAACGCTGGAGACGGATGTGTGTGAAGGCTCTGCAATTTCTAGACAATCAGCAAATCAGAGACGACTGTCCGGACCAAGAAAAATACTATCGCCAACAACGCAGAGGGTGCTGGACTTTTAGCAATAAGTACCAAGGCTATGCCGTCAGTGACTGCACGGCTGAGGCGATCAAGGCCATTATTCACCTCCAAACCACTGCACATTATCCTACCCTGTTGGACGATGAGCGAATATTCGATGCTGTGGATTCCATGGTTCTGTATCAGAACAGCACCGGGGGCGTTTCCGCCTTTGAGGCACGAAGGGGAAGCCCATATCTTGAGCTGCTCAACCCCACGGAAATTTTTACCCGGAACATGGTCGAGCACGACTACCCAGAGTGTACGTCGTCGTGCGTCACGGCGTTGGCCCTATTCAGAGAACACTGGCCACAGTACAGGACCCAAGACATTGCAAAGTTTATACAGCGCGGAGTCGAGTGGATCAAGTCGGACCAGCGAGCGGATGGTTCGTGGTACGGAAGTTGGGGCATTTGCTATACCTATGGCACCATGTTTGGCTTGGAAGCGCTGGCTGCTGTTGGTGAGACGTATGAGAATAGTTTACACGCACAAAAGGCCTGCGACTTTCTCATTTCGAAGCAGCGACAAGACGGAGGGTGGTCGGAAAGCATACAGGTACGTCAGTAGTCATACACGAGGAGCCTGCGGCGCCAGACAAAGCTAACAAAGATGACTAGGGTTGCGCAGACCAAACATATATAGAAAGCCCAAAAGGCTCACTTGTTGTCCAGACGGCTTGGGCTCTCATCGCGTTGATGGCAGGCGAGTACCCGGCCGTGGAGCCGATCAAACGTGGTGTCAAGCTGCTCATGAGCCGCCAGCAAGACAATGGCGAATGGCTGGAGGAGGAGATTCCGGGCGCTTTTCACGGGTTTTGTTCATTTTCATACCCCAACTATAAGTTTTCCTTTACCATCCGCGCTCTAGGTACTTTTGCGACAAGATACCCGGACGAAAAGGTTGCAGAATAACTGCAGGAGGGACGGGTACAAGCGTGGCAGAGATGGCAAAATATTTCCCACAACGCTTGGCCATGACGACCCGAGCAATATTTTCCTATTCTCCAATACTTACCCGTACTCGCTCGCTTACTTTGGGTGAGGGTTTCTCAGCTAGTTTCAGAATGTTCTACTAGTATTCCGCGAGATGCTATTTTGGTCGTTTAGGTCCATGTTAAGTGCAGAGAGTTAATAAACTTGTGGTTTTTGGGGCTATTCCGCGCTCGTTCTTATTTCTATTATCGGAACGTGCGGCGTTGCTAGACTAGCGTAGCAGGCGACAGTTTGTTACGGAAGGAAGCATTGGTACGATGTGATTCATGACTACTCTCATCTAAGAACATGACTATCAAGTAAGGACGCTTACATGTTGGTTTTTATGAGGGGGGTTTATACTATATAACCAAGAATGTATGCGGTAAACAATAATTCCTATTATAATTTTCATGAGTTTTATCTTATTCACAGGACTTTGAGCATGGTCGAGGTACAGGCAGTGGCTCTGAAGCTGAAATCTGAGTTGGACCGGACCTAATATCTGCAGATATAAATGTGTCTAATAGCGGTACCCCCAACATATATACTGTTTTTTGAGCCTCGCCAGGCACCTGATTCAGCGAATCGCGTGATTGGTTTAGTGGTAAAATTCTCCGTTGCCATCCGAGCAGCGTCGGGGAGCCCTGGGTTCGATTCCCAGATCACGCAGCTATACCGTTTTGTGCTATTCTTAATCTCCGGAATAAAGCGAGAGTATATATTTTTTTGAACTGCTTATATTTTAGTGTTTTCCATGGCTTGGCAGCCGGTAACGCACTACAATCCGTGTCCTTGTAGTATAGAATATAGTATATTCTCCGAGATAAGATTAAATTACTAGATAGTGCTTATTTTTTGGTTACTTATTTAATTAAATTATTAATCTCTTATTTTGTGGACTAATTTCAGTCACAGTAATAATAGCTGCTAGCTAGCTGCTATAATACTATTTAAGGTTAACTGGTTAGTATTAACCCCTGTGCTGAGATAAAGGTGTTCTCTTACTTGGACCATGTGCGCCCAAGACGGTGTAACTTAAGGCATATTTCTTAGATTGTTCCTTAATGCTAAGCAGATTAGAGCGAAAGCAACTACGACTGCTAATACTAAAGTAATTGTCAAAAATACGCTCAGGTAAGCAGACACGGTGCTATTATAATAGGATAATATTTGGCCAATACTTGACTGCTCTCTTACAAGAGTGCCACTTAATATATTCACTTCGATTACGGGTTTACCCTCACACGGTCACATCTATTAGGACGCAAGTGTCGTCCTGCCCCTGAAGTTGAAATAACCGTTGCGAGGCTGGAGGTGACGGCGGAAGTGGATTGCTTAATTACCGGAGGGACCAAAGGTGCTTGTAGACGTTTCTGCAACTTTGCTATAGAGTTTCCTATTTGCGCTATATCTGTTCTCCCTTTATGTGATACGCTGCGCTCGACAGTTGGTCGTCTTTTCGTGGTGTGAAACGGATCAGAAACAAGTAAATTAGGCGCTTTAGCTTCTCTCGCTTTCTTCCTTTTCAGTCTTTGTTAACTGACAAAAGTTATTAAGCATCTCCTTTATCCGCTATATCTAAATGTACTTCGTATTATCGGTATTATGTTGCTCGGCCTATAACTTCACGGCCGGACCACTTTCTTTAATTTTAATATTCTTGGTGCGGTAAGGGGCGATTTTACATGTGGGCCCAGTATAAGTTTTCATACGTGAGTGCCAATGCAAAGGCTTACTATATTCTCGCAGCTTCTCACATATTTATTCTGTCATATTTTTCCATGAAAGTATAGCAACACTGTCTATATAGCCACTAATAGCTACGTCCTAGATTTGGCACTGAGTTGGTGGAGGTTTGATCTCCTATTGCTCATCTTCTGTGAGTAAAGTTGAGAGCCTTGTCTAATCGGGGGTGCCGCCCAAGTCCAAGGAGAAAATGGCGCCTCCTTGACTACACATATCGTCTGGTACCAGCATCTTTTAATAACAATAGCATGGCATAGACGTTTTTGATACTATGCCCCAGCCTGTCCAGATAACTCGGACCATGATTCAATTATATTCTTCATAACGTCAACCCCCCACATATAATCTTGCCAATCCGTGTCAGCCCACAGATCAGGGTGATTTCCCTCCCCGTGACTAGCGGCCCGGATAGACTTGTCTCGCTGCTCCTGTTCAGGCCCATCCGGTAGATGCAGGGTTTTGCGAACCGTGGAAGCACTGGCTTGGATTCGCTCGCCCCGTTCCTTGCGTGTAAGCTCGTAGACGCGCAAGGCCAGCTTGACATCACTAGTACAGGTCAAGGCTGCCGTGATGGCGCCAGCATCCTCAATGGCATTCGCCGCGCCCTGGGCCACGTACGGTAGCATAGGGTGGCATGCGTCCCCCACGAGGCCAACTTTGTTCTCGACCCATTGTGGCAATGGGACGTGCGAGTTGAGTGTCCATTCGAGAACCTCTCCTTCGGGCACATAGCTCAAAAGGTTTCGAATCAGAGGTGACCAATGCTGGTAAAAGTTCATCATTTCGGCCTTACTTCCCTTTGTGGTCCAAGATGTCTCCTTTCCAGCCTCATTTTCCTTGGCTGGGTGAATGAGTACCATGTTATACACGGTGTTGTTCTTGATGGGATACGCCATAATGTGCCCGCCTGGGCCCATGTATCGCATACCAACATTCTCCTGAAGAAGGGACATTGCTTCCTTGTCATGCTCCATCTCTGTTTTAGGAATCAACACCCTGTATGCAGCATCGCCAGTTGGGGAAGAGCGGTCTTGTTGCCCATAGCTAGCAGCAACCTGTGCTCGGATAGACGACTTGATTCCGTCTGCTGCAAACACCACGTCTCCAGAGAACCAGTCACCGCCTTGAACTTGTACTCGGGGCTCAAACCCGTCATCTACTTTGATAACCTTGTGGGAAGTTAAGATGTTGCAGCCATAGTCCTTCGCAGCTTGTAGCAAAATTCGCTGCAGATCGCCTCGATGAATGACGCTTAATGGCGCGCCGTATTTATTGCCAGCATCCGGCATTAGCTGCGCCGATCCTAGTTCCTCATCGTTTGCATAACGTCTGCGTGATAGTTAGGTCTTGCGCAGCAGACGGGACAGTATTGGATGAAATGGGTAGGAATTTGGGCTTCTTCACCCACCTACCTCAGCGAGTTTCTCTCCAAGATGTTGGCGTATTTCGCGACCTCCTCCAACACACCAAATCGGTACAGGATGCGCGCTGCATTGGGTGCTACCTGAATACCGGCTCCAACCTCTGCGATCTCGTGAACCTGCTCGAGTATTGTCACCTTGTGCCCGGTTTTTTGAAGACCTATTCCCAGGGCCAAGCCACCTATGCCAGCCCCAACGATAATGACGGATAATGGCTTCACTGCCTTGCGACCCTTCCAGTCAATCGTCTCACGGATATATTCCATGGCTTTAGTTGTTGCGTTTTGAATGGCGACAGATGATGTAGGGTATGTGCGAAAGAATCGGAAGAAACCGTGCGACGTGCCATAACGCCTAGCAGATATTATATATACCTACACCTCTGCTCGCTAGCAAATTGCATGTATTACTTGCCATTGCATTATGAGTAAGTTCCGGGGTTAGCTAAGCATTACTACTAGAGGTAAATTCCTCAGCTTCCTGTCCATGACGTCAAACGTTCTGTTCCGAGCTTGGGGTGTAGGACGGGCAGACGCTTGATGCTAGTAATTCCCGATCTTGAAAGCCGATCGGCTTGGGATCCGAGATAAGGAATAAATCTCGTCCCATCCAATCAACCGTTGCCAATGTCGTACATAAGTGGAGGTGCAGGATAAAGCCAAAGCTAAAAGTTGACTTAAGCGCCGAGCATTCCGAAAGCAACTTGTCGAGTCACCTCAACTTCAACTCCAACTCATTTTCGACTAAACGTGTGATTACTACTGTGGTTCACCCCAAACCAAAGGCTTGGTCGAGCAAGATGATACAGGAACATGTCCGAGTCTGAGACGGCTACATATGTTTGTGGGAGTCGAAAGTCCACCGATACGTCAGGTGGCTGCGATATTTGTTTGTCTCACGACAACGTACCTGGCGCCATTATTAATATGAGAGCCAAGGCAAGGTCAGAAGCGGCAGGCATGTATGCTGGGGTATGAAGACGATAAACGACAAAGGACTAGAACATTCAAGGTTGCAAAGGTGATGAGGAAATATACGCAATGACGAGCGTTTGATACTATGCAGGTTAAAAAATGCGGGTTGCATTCACGATGCACTCCTCAAGAGTTACCACTATCCAATCATGACTATATCGCTCGCTAGTAGAATGGGAGGTTTAAGATGTCTTGGTAGAAAAGTCAAACATGCGGAATACAAAAGACTTGTTATTATTTGCCCCCCCCCTTCCCTGCAATCATTACAGCCTACTTCTCAATTCTATATGCTAATACATACACATGATAATTTTTGCTTGAAAAGCAGAATACTACCGTTTGATTGAGCTCTGGGCCTTGAACCGAGGCACCCGCAAAAGATAGTACAAGGCAAAGACACAAATTACATCAAAAACGATATAACCAGTCAATATGCCAACATTTCTCCACGCAGTACTCTTATCCGTGCTCAACCCGAGACTTTTCAGCACGGTATCGGCCCTGGAGACGGGGCAAAAGACACATGGCCCGTCCCCGCTCTCAGAATTTACAACATAGCCTCCTGTGTCCCGCATATATGCCTCAAGATACCTTTGGCACGACCCGTAACCCGGCGGAAGGGGGACATGAAGCATCTCCACGGAAGAGCACTGTACCCGAATCCCCGCGATGCCTGCAATAGCAATGCCCTCGAGGTAGTAGGTGAGGGGCGAGACGCGATACATGAACTTCCAGAAACCAGGCAAGTGATCCGGTGTCACCAAGATGCTACGACCAGTTAGCGCATCCCGTCGTC